ATAGATAGATAGATAGATAGATAGATAGATAGATAGATAGATAGATACGGACAGACAGACAGACAGAGATGAGGGTTGAGGTATTACTGGAAGACAGGACTGTTATATTTTTTTAAATAGAATAGAATAGAATTCTTTATTGGCCAAGTGTGATTGGACACACAAGGAATTTGTCTTTGGTGCATATGCTCTCAGTGTACATAAAGGAAAAATAAAATACATTCATCAAGAATCATCAGTGACAATCTTTATTATCTTAGTGATACTCTTAGTGATGTTAGATTCTTTACTGCTTCTAATAAATTTTGAAAATCAAGTTTGTTGGAATAGACAGATGTTTGCAACATGAATGGTGAGCCTTTTTAAAATATCTATAAAGCACCTTCAAAATTTGAAGCCAACTGTTCTTCAATATCATCAAAGTTGCCATTTTTTATATCCTCAAAATAATCTTTCAGATAATCCAAAGCATCTTTGTTTCGGGCATCTTCATTGATGATTAAGGCATCATTGTATTTCTGTGATAAAAATATAATTTACATTATTTTTATAATCATAAAAAAGGCTGTTCTGAGAACATGGCAGCAAACAACACTCATGAGAGGAAGCCCTTACAATCACATGAGGTCTTTATTTAATGACAGCCATAGGGACTACTGGAAATAGCTAAACCACAAACTTATGTGACATCACCCTTTACGACCTGGTCCCAATTGCCATTGTAACCCGAGGACTACCTGTAGCGAGGTGACCTATTTCAAACTTGAATCATTCCAAATTCAAATGACTTGCTTCAATCACCTTTCACATTTAAGACACATTCTGAAAGATCAAAGCAGCCTCATTCAAACCTAAAACAACGGATTTGAACTCCAAATGCAGCATTTCAAAGGAGAGGCCCTTCCAATTCACTAGACTGGCAAAATTCACTAAACAAATTTCTCACTCAGCGACATAAATTTTGGGCTCAATTGTGGTCATACGTTGAGGGCTACCTGTACCTGACAGTAAGCAAAACGACCCAGAATGCAATGCAGTCATTTTGAACAGGATGAGTTAACACATGTATTGGTGTTTGTTTGGAGCAGTCTTCTGATACTACTAACAAACCAAAGTACTCTTAACACACCGTTGAGTAAAGTCATGCCAAACATTAGGAAACAGGACAGGAGAAACACAGCTCAAAGGCAATAGAGCAGGGGTCTGGCCCGTGGGGTGCTAAGATCTGGCCCACAGGACCGCCCTGGAAACAGCAAAGGATCAGCTCATGGTGCCTCTGCCAGTGGAAACAGGCAACCGAGCTCCGTTTTTGGCTGCGACATCTTCCCGCAACCCAGCATCACAGCCAAAAATGGAGCTCGGGAGCCCATTTTCGCTGGCAGAGTATTTCACAGGCGCCCCCGAACACGAGTGATGTCAAGCTGGCCATGCCCACCATCCCGCAAGGTCAAACACAATCCTGATGCATCCCACAATGAAATCGAGTTTGACACCCCTGCAATAGAGCACCAAGGCAAGAGAAATGGTTGCTTCCCAAGTAGGAGGAAGTTACCCACCCGGAGGTGCTGCGTGCAAATAAACAGAGCCCTGCAGACTCGGCTCTCTTCTTCGGTATTTTTAAACTGTAACACCACAGCTTTCTTCTGCACGTCGACAATCCACTGCTCGTACTTCTGGGTCCCATAACACTGTTTCGTCATCACAGACAAGTCATCTAATGGAGAAGGAAAGATTATTATTTTTTTAATAAAAATGGCCTACAATGAAGAGCAGAGATCTCTTGATTCACGTTCTGATTCAAGGCATATTGTAATCTGCAGTACAATATATTGAATTGTTCTAAGCCAGGCTAGAAGATATGGTCTCTATCATTGCATGTTAGCCTTTGATAAGGTGAAGACACGCATGTTAATGGCACGCTGGTGTGGTTGTCTACGATTTATGAGATGTTTTTAATTGGGGACCTTGATTTTGTCTTTTTTTTTAAACTTTCTTTAAACTGATAATGGTTCTTTTCCCCCCTTTTATTTATATATAGCATATACCGTATTTTTCAGAGTATAAGATGCACTCCCCTGCCCCAAAGTGGGTGGAAATCTGTGTGTCTTAAACAGCTAATGTTGCTGAAGCCCCGCCCACCCACCAGCCCCCACCCTCTGGCTTTCCTTGCAGCAAACAGTCTGTTTCAGCTTCAGCACAGCCCGATTAGCATAAGCAGCTGATTGTCGGTTGGATCGGCCTCCCGATGATCAGCTGTTTCAGGCTTCCTATTGCCACCTCCGCGCACCCCATTTTTGGCCTCCACATCCCATTTTGGGCCTCCGCACACCCTGTTTTCGGCCTCTGCATGCCCCATATTCCGCCTGTTCCGATTGCCCAGAATAGGCCAAAAATGGGGAGCACGGAGGCTGAAAATGGGATGCGGAGCCGAAAATGGGGCGCGTGGAGGATGCAATAGGCTATGGCAATCCCTGCCGTCTGAAACAGCTGATCACCGGGAGGCTGATCCAACCGACAATCAGCTGCTTGTGCTGATCAAGCTGTGCTGAAACTGAAACAGGCTGTTTACTGCAAGGAGGCAAATTGCTGGGAGGCAGGGGAAGATTTTTTTTTTCTTGTTTTCCTCCCCAAAAGCTAGGTGCATCTTATACTTCAAAGCGCCTTATACTCTGAAAAATACGGTAATTAACATCACCGAGCAATCTCAATTGTCTTACCAATAGGATAAAATTGTCTTGCTAGATCCTCTGCTTTTGACATCATCTGAGATACAATATCTACAAAACGATTTTGTGGACGGGTCCCAATAAACCTAATAACTGTAGTAAAAATAAAAAAGAAACCGCCATTATTAGCTGCACATTTAATTCTTCTAAAATAGTTACAAGTCTTTTGTCGGAGAAAGCATTACGTTTCTTTAAGAATGTGGCAAACTAATTTATTACACTATCTTTTTTTAAACTTTTGCCTTTCGAAGACACAGCTATCATCCCAATATACCCATCATCAAGTACTTTGCAACGGTTGTTACCTGACACAACATGAGTGAGTAAAATGGCTCAAAATGTATGGTTTTTTTTGAAAGGCAGATGCCCTAGAGCAGTGGTCATTTGTGGTCCACAAGAAAATTTTGGTGGTGCGCAATGTCCCCCCCCCCAAACAATTAATTTAGGCTGCGCGGGAACACAAGGCTACGCTGCCTAGATGGCCCACCCACCCGCTGGGCCCCACCCTTTGGCCAAGCGCAAACCTTACCTTGAGTAGAGCCATGTGAGCTGGAACTGGAAGGTAAGACCAACGGCGGCGGAGGGAAATTGGTGGGAAAGTTGGTCCCATATTCCAGAGCTGCAGTAGTCAGGACTGGCCCTTTAGTCATCCCGGAGCAGCTGCTCCTCCACCCGGATGCACTGGCCTGCCATGGACTGGAGGAGCTGCTCTGGGATGACCAAAGGGCCAGACCTGTGACTACTGAAGCTCTGGAATATGGGACCAACTTTCCCACCAACGTTAGCAAGCCACCGGCAGTCAAAATTCATATTAGTGCTATTGCTATTATGCTCCCACCCATTCTCAAGAACCTTTTCCAAATCAAAGCCAAAGCCAAATATTGTAAAGCTTAAATCCATGTATTGGCTACAACAATAAACGGAGGTCCCAAAAGTGCCTTTTCAAAAGGCAACTGGACTTTGAAAAATAAAGTCCAGTTGCCTTTTGAAGAAGCACCTTTGGAACAAACCATGACTTGCATGACTGAGAATCTCTCCATAGTCAAATAAAGGCAAGTGTATTGGTGTATTGTTGAGGAAGAATCTAATCTCTACCACAAGGGAAGGGAAGAATACAGGGCTGGCATTGTGGAATTCCTGGAAAAGCCATCTGGATTCATCAGATCCAGGTCCCATTGGAGAAATCCCTGTAAGTCTAGAGTCATGCAAAGTACACAGAGTTTGAAACACTGTATATGTGCATTGTTAGGAATATATGTCACCTAATAGGTATTTGGGTTAGAAATATATAAACCAGGATAAACATTTTAGTACTATATCTTTAAGGGAATGCAAGAGCATGCAATTGGGTGTGGTTTCTCAAACAGCCATAAGATGGAACCAGAAACCTGGGTTGTTTAGTCTGAGTCTCAGAAGATAGTGTGAGTGTATCTCTGTTTCCTTCTGTTGGAAAGTACTGCCGTTGCTCCATTTCTTCTAATTGACTGATATTACTGGATTTAATGTAAGTCTGTTACTGAACTGTTTTTTCACACTGGACTTTGATATTTGGATTATCCCTGGATTGAAAAACTGACCGATTTACCTGTGAATGACTTTTGGACTGCTTATTTTGGACTTTGCTTAAACCTTTCTGGAAGTAAAAAACCTACATTTACTGTACAGCGTATCTGTGTACTGTGTCTGTATTATTCTAACACTTCTCTCAAATACGTCTCCCTGTATGCGCTCATTCTCCTAACGGGGAATTACCTCAACATGCATGCTGAATTGTGTGTAAGAGTTTTTCTTCTCCTGGTCCAGTTATGACTCTCTTCCATTAGGGATTTTAACTGCTCAGAATTGCTTGACAATTCAATAATGGCTATAAAAATGGCTTGAGCTGAAAATATCCCCTCATAAGTAAAAAAAAAAAAAATTCCTGGAGGTTCAAACAAACTGTTTGAATTTCACCAGAAACATTCTCACTGTCCTATTCTAGAAGGGTTCTTAATTCAACATAGGACTTCGCTGGAAGATTTCAAAGTTGGGATAATCTATTCTAAACGCAAAACAAGGCACTTTGAACTTGAAACGGAGTCTTTTCAGCCCCAAATGTTTCAAATGTGGCACACTTTTAGAAAAAAAAAAACACCCCACTTTGAAATCCCTGAAGGAACCTGAAATTTGGCAGGATTCAACACAGGAGTGTATCTCAATTGATGACTTAAATTAATTCATTGCTATGAGTCTATTGAGGAAGAAACGTGTGTTTAGGCGAAAGTCCCTATCTAGGAATTAGTTTAGCTACAGAGCATCATCTGACACATGCAGAAAACTTTCATTCTTTCTGGACCTAAGTAGCTGTCTACTGAGTACAGCTGTGTCCTAATTTCTAGCCCAGGGATGTTTAATGGAAATGCCAAACAGGATCTATATGGGGGTCTTTTAATCCGACCATCAAGACCAGGAGTGTCAAACTCAAGACCTGGAAACAGCGAAGGACCAGCCTCTGCCAGCGAAAATGGAGCTCTACCAGGGCTGCAGGAGGCCATTGCAGCCAAAAATGGAGCGGGGGGGGGGAACGCATGGCCCACCCGAGCTCCATTTTTGTTAGCAGGGGGCTGCAGGTCCGTCGTGGCCGAAAACGGAGCTCAGGAGTCTGTTTCTGCTAGAAGAGCACTTGGGACACCGTAGGTGCCCCCCAACATGAGTGATGTCATGCTGGCCATGCCCACCATGGCCTCCCGAGGTCAAACACAACCGTGAGGCGGCCCTCAATGAAATCGAGCTTGACACCCCTGATTAAGACTCTTAAACTGTTTGGCAAATGGAGCGCATATGCATGCTTGACTGGTTCATACTTATGACCACTGCTATGCCCCCAAAGTCATGTGATCCTCTTTTGCAACCTTCTGACAAGCAAAGTCAATGGGGAAAGCCAGAATCACTTAACCACCGTGATACTAATTTACAACTGCAGCGATTCGCTTAACAAATATGGCAAGGAAGGATATAAAACGGGGCAAAACTCACTTAACAAATGTCTCACTTCACAGAAATCTGGGGCTCAATTATGATCGTAAGTCGAGGACTACCTGTAGTACATCCACTATGGCTCTTCAGAATGGGATATCAGATTATGGGTTCATCTCACTGAGAGATGAGTTCTACAGCAGTTCATCCCCAGTATCAAGTCTCAACCGAACTATGAAATGAAAAGTGTCTGGAAAGCACTCCAGTCTGAACCACAGGTACACTGTGCAGAAAGTTAGCACCCACCCGTCTCCTCCAAGAATGAAATATTTTAGCATATATTAAAAAGGCAGAATATTATATTTCCCTGGGTGAGAAAAGGAGAAACATGTTTTTAAAGACGAAGAGCAGCTCCCTACAACCCAGCAGATAATTGGTGCACATTAAGACTGGGCCAGCCTAGCTACAAGACAAAAATCCTCCAGCTCCAGGGTGATGGGATTAAGACATGGTAGGATTACCCATCTAACAGCAGGGCTCACTGCATTGCAAAATCACCTGGGGAACGTTACGTCAGCCCGAGGTTCCAGCAAACTTGATTCAGACAAACATGACTCCACATGGGAGTCTGACTACAGCCAATAGAATACATGCTCTTGCCACAGGAACAGGAAGCTCAAGGGCAAGGCCCAAGAGCTGCCCAGGACCTAAAACCCACGTGGTCCTGTCCATAAATAAATCATCTTTCCCATCAGCCTCCATGTTTCCAGGGTCTTTCTCCCCACTTGGAACTGAACCCAAATGGCTATTTCTTCCAACAACTGATACCAGATTTCATGGGCATTCCCCACTACCTATCTGCAGCAGAGGGAAATATGAGGCAAATACGGTCGTGCAATATTAATGTATTTCCTTCATTACACACACACAAAATTCTTAGTATAAATTGCTGAGCAACAAGATTAATGTACATGACGAGCTTGTGGTCTTCTTCTTAGCCACTATGAGAACATAATGCAGCCTTATGCCTGCCTATTCCTATTCAAGTATATATCATCTTAATTTGGAGGAGTGGAGACATTGGAGAGAGGCAGCATAAAAATTCCAGCATAATTGCATTGTAAGGGATTCCAAGGTTAGACGTGGTCACGACAGGTTGTTTAATGACTGTTCAAACAAAGGGTGCTTTGTGACCAATAAATACTCTGAGCCCTTATAAAATTGTTTGCCTCTTCCATGGTCATATGAACTTGACTTGGTTGCCTGGCAACTTGTTCACGCATACGACCAGCTGTTGCACATCTTGCAAATGTGTGATTGTCCTTTGCAATCTTCTCTGCCGGCTTCCCCAGAAAGTCAGTGGGGAAGCTGGCAGGGAAGATTGCAAG